AGCCACTCCTCCCAGTTTTGTGTCGTCAGCAAACTTGCTGATGGTACACTCTATCCCCTCGTCCAGGTCATTGATGAACAAGTTGAACAAGACTGGGCTGAGTACCGAGCCCTGGGGAACTCCACTAGCTACCGGCATCCATCTGGTCTCTGCCCTGCCGATCAGAACCCTCTGAGCCCTGCCATTCAGCCAGTTCCCAATCCACCTCACTGTCCACTCATCCAACCCATACTTCTTGAGCTTCCCTATGAGGGTGTTATGGGAGACAGTGTCAAAAGCTTTGCTGAAGTCAAGGTAGACAACATCCACCACTCTCCCCTCATCTACCCAGCCGGTCATGCCATCATAGAAGGCTATCAGATTGGTCAGGCGTGATTTCCCCTTGGTGAATCCGTGCTGGGTACTCCTGATGATCTTTATTGTAGGTGTGACGATGGAGTCAGCAGCCGCTTGCTCATGTGTTTTCCTATGACTGTCTCTTACTTTGGTTTTAGGCAGGGACTCCACAGACACAGGGACGTCTTCACTACTCTGGTTTGAAACTCACGGTGGTTACTGTAGACAGTAGTGGGTCTAGTAGTACAGGAGTGCTTTGGGTTTACAGCAGAGTACTTGATAGCAAAGCTTGGCCAGTCATTTGGCAAAGCGAGTTGAAAGGGTTTCTGCTAATTCTAGGTTTTGGGCACTCTTCTGCTTTAGCGGTTTTACTAGGAAATTTAAGTTAGATTTTATGAATTGTTTAATTTCCTCCTCAAATCAGTGTTTTAAAACAATTTTCTGTTCTGGGGGGTGGTGGAGTGCCTGTAGACTTTGTCAGTATTTTAAGAAAGATGTAACAGTTCAAGGCCTAGTTGCTGTTTGGCATTTGAATTGATCCAGTAAGGGTTTTTTCTTTTTTTTTTTTTATAATAATTATCCCAAATTACCAATGGTAGGAAGGAAAAAACCAATATATTGGATTGTAACACATTACTACAGGTCTGATTTTGATCCTATTTGCCATGCATAAAGACCAGATCATTAGAAGTTACACTTTTATTAAAATCAAACCTAGAAAAATAAAATAATAGCTAGTCCAAATAAGCTCATATTATGCACTTAAAGTAAGAGAGAAATTTTGGATCTCCTCAGATACTGAAAACCAAGGCTGATCTCCATCAGATACGCATAATGGTTCTCTTGATTACAATTTTGTCATTTCATTTTAAAATAAATTTCTTGTTAGCTTTTTGTGTGACAGACAGAGCATAGCTCATCTAAATGATGAAAAGTCTGCAATAATAGTAATTCTGAAGGTCTTTCTCTTCAGTTTTGTGTCAGGATGCGGGAGATGTTTTGCAGCAACATGTACTTTCTTTTCTGGCAGCCTAACGCTCTTTCATCTTTTCTTCTTGTTTCCCTTCTTGTTCCCTCTTCACACACACAAAAAGTAAATGCATATCCTCTGATTACTGCACTTGGTTGTGTGTCTTGGAAAAGCGTTCAGGTTCGTTTGCAGTTGCAGCATTGTTTCATTCCAGCTTCCGCTGGTGTAAGGAGTGGAGTAACTTGTCTCTAAAGGGGCTCTTCTGCTGCAGCATCTGCTGTCTTAATGCAGGAAGCTTGAAATACTCTGAACCATCCTCTCTTGTGTTTGTGCTTACTCTCTGTTGTATGTCAACTGCCCTGTGAGACAAGCTGTTAGAGTGGATTTTTTGGACAGAGCCTGGATAGGAGTCTTTCACGTACTCACAGCTGAGTGTTAAATCGTCTCAGATCGCTGTTAACTTCTGAAATAAACCCCTTTTTTGGTCATATCTTTTCTAAAAGATTGCCAGCTCTTGAAGGAATCAGGCTGCATTATTCACTTCTCAAGTGAGGGTTATCTGCGAGACTGTATTGGTGTTGATACCTTGCTTCAAAATCTAAAGGGTTAAAATAGTTTTCAGCATTGTTGCAGTGGAGAATTCTTCCTAATGTGTCTGCTGGGGTTTTTTTGAACAATTATTGCGTATTTACGCAAGCTCACTTTAGCTATTTCTCAAAAGCTATTTCTTGGCCTACAGGACAAAATGTCCCTTCGATCCCAGCCCAGTCTGTATAATATTGCAAAGAAGTCAATGAACAATTGGTTTCTAGAGAAGCCTGATTGCTGTTTCTTAGTCCATTAAACCTTCTTGACTTCTGGCATATTTCAGTATAACATCATGTGCTTTTTTCCCTGCTCCTCGGTTTTATTTTAAACTTTTGTCATGTTCAGATATTGATTTGTGCTTTGATAACTGTGCTTGGAGTATTCATTTGATTAAGTGATAAAAGGTGGGAGGGAATAAATACAGACTTTCTCAAGGAAATCCTTGTTAAGACTCTCTGAAATGTTACCTTTTTGTTACTCATCAGCCTTACTGTAGTCTTACTATATTAAATTTTCTCTTTTTTGCTCATGAAAGACAATGGCATTGCTAGGTAAGTAAAAGGTCTTTTTGTGAGAAAAAGCAGGATCAAGCCATCCATTTAAAAATGAACATGAAACTTGGGAAAAAGTTTGAGTCAGATTCTGGCAGGCCCAATAACACAGTATAAATGCAGAGAAAGAGGCAGGCAAGAGAACTTGTGAATATTAGGCAGGTGTGAACTTTTTATGAAGTCATTCATTAAGTGTCAAATATGTGGATGTAAAGTTCAGACTTTTGGTAAAATTGGTCTACAATATGAATATTTTTCACCTTTAGGATCACTTGGAATAAAGTAGTACCTGAGGAAAGACTGTTAAAATAAGAATTTAAATTAATCCCTGCAGAATCTCACTGAAATAGAGAATGAGCTCTGCGACATTCATGTTGGGAACCTGCCATGAGGAAGTGTATGGGTGCATGTTCTCAGGGTTATTTGTTAGCAGATGTTAGGGATGAAAAATGGATAATAAAAGTTTTAAGGGGAAAAAAGATTAATTCTGAGGGAGTGATTGATAGCTTCACTCGTCTGAAAAATGAGTCACACTTACTAAACTGGAAGAAGAGTCTGCATCTTCTTTGCAGACCACTCACAAAAAATGATAGAGGTAATTTGTATCATATTGCACTCTGCAATAGGTCCGTATCACTTAATGTCATTTGAATTGCACAGCCAGAGACAACATTCAAAGTTTCAAGTGATGATAAAGAAATCCCTTTTAAATGAAAATTGAAGTGAAATGCCTACCGTAAGATTGCATGTTATTTTGTTCACTTGAAAGTGTCCTGCTCTTCGATTAGAATCCGACATTTGATTCAGCCCTATTAGTAAATAGGGAAGTTGGAAGGACTTGGGCTTGCCTGATTTGCTTAGGAATGAGGTGGCACCCAAACTTTTGAATACCTACAATATGAAAAAAACCCTAACTACTGAGTTCCTTTTTTCTTAGTTTCCTGCATGGTCTTTTCTAACAGTTTATTCCCAGCATACCTCACTGAGCTGAAGTAGGATGGCACAGATCAGTAATTAAAGAATGCCTGCATCCATCTGCCTCATGACTATTACACTTTGTTGTCTTTATATTTACATGTTGCGTTGGCTGTGAGCAGCCAAACAGAAGGACTTCCCAGTCAGGTTCCAAATCCTAATGTTTTGTCATCTTTATGTCTCACAGAGTTCTGAAGCCTCTGAAGTGGTAATCCTGGAGCGCTGCTGGATTGTGGAGTTCAGGGGTAAAACAGATGTTTCAATAGTTCTCAGTAAGTAAGACATAGCTCAATATTTCCAGTGTGAATTTTTTATTTCTGGCAACAAAAACGACAACAAAAAAACCCAACCACCCAGGCATTGAAACTTTGTGAAAAACTTCGCTAAAATACATCCTCTTGTCTGTTAGATGCATCTCCTGAATCGGTGCCTAAAAAGAAAATCCAAAAAGCTATTGTTTTACTTTTTCCAAAATCAAGTGAAAGTCTATGTCATCCTCTTCCTCTGACAATAAATAGAAGTTTGAGGTTCTATTTTGTTAGGTATTATGTACAATATGGGTTTTATGTTGATGTATAGCTAATTCCTCTTATTCTTGAATGATTAATCATTGCCAACCTAAATGAAGGGTTTCCTGTTTGTCTCACCTCCTATCAACTCTTCATTAATAAAATTGTTAAAACAAACAATTGTTAAAAACAAGTAGGAAAAAAATAATTATTTCATAGAAATCAGAATCATTATTTTAGTGAAAAGATTTTATTTGGAGAAAATGCTGACAGAGTTTTCTCTGCAGGAACAACTCAAATAGCCGTTGTGTTAGGAATTTTTTGAGACGTGGATTCTTTCCGATACCACTGCAGAGTTTTGAAGTCCTTGGATCAATTTGCCGTTTTCTGTTAGCTGTAATGGTCTAAGAGCAGTTTTGGTAGGCTAGTAAAGCTAGCTACAGGGGAAAAAAGGTTATGCTGTATTTGTGGGCTTGATGGCCAGCTTTATGTTTAGTAGAAGTTCCTACCTTCTTTATTTTTATACTCACCAAAATCTCCAGTCCACTTCAAGGAAAACATTGCATTAATTATGCTAACTGTTGTCCTTACCTGCTGAAATGATTCTTAGTGTTTGGTCACATTTGAGAAGGCAGTGACTTAAAATGTATTCATTGTGGGTTTTATCCTTTTCGAAGTAGTATTCTGGGGAATAGCTCAAATCCTGCATCTTTAGTAGTGGAATTAAATCTTCAATTGTGTGCCTGATGTTGAGGCACTGCATCAAAAAGGACTTCTTTCTGGATTTGGAAGCATTTCTTTGCCTAACTGTAACAGCTGAATGGCTATAGTTGAGACTTTTCTAATTATGCCCTTATTGAATCCAATTCATTGATTGGAATTATCAGCTTTATGAGGTGGTGATGTTACAGTTTGAGTATAAATACAGTCCTGTCTGTGCCCTTCTGGCACTTCCTTTACAATGCTTGAACATAACGCTACTGAACTGAGCCAAGAATACAGTTGTAATTGCTGCCAGGACTCTTTCAATTAATTTTGAAGCCTGCAAACAGGACAGTTTCTGTGGCAGTGAGACTGGCAGGTTTTAAGTCCAAAAGCTGGGGAAGAAGGCAACGATGAGTACCGAGTAAGCACTTCAGGCTGCCTGTGGAGAGACTGTGAATATATGTGGAGAAAGAAATAGGCTTGCATAGTTAGGAACAGAAATTCCTAGATGAGATATAGACTTCCCAAACCAAAGTTTTTGAAGGTCAGTAGTGTGGTTAGAGGTAAGGGTGGCATTCTGACCAGCCTCTAAAAACATACTAAAGGAGAAAAGAGGAAACAGTACAGAAAACTCCAGGTATGCAGAGCCAATAAATGATGATGAATGCCTGGGATGCGACGGAAGGAACACAACAGAAGATAGAGGAAGAGACAGACAGGTAGAGGAGAAATGGATTTCAAACTTGGCAATGTTCCTGTGCTGTGGAGAACAAGGACAACAGCCTGGCTGTTGATTTGTTGGATGGGGAGAGAGAAAGAAAGCCAGACTATTAGGAGGTATTAGAACAAAACTGAAGACAAATGAAGATGATATACTGTGTACAGAGTGAGGATAAAATACCAAAGAAGTGAAATAATAATCCAAGTACTGTAGGAGAGAACAAAATTCAGAAGACAAAAGAGGGAAGAAAAGTAAAACCTGTGAACTAAGAAGAGAGATCTTTGTTGATGGGGGCTTCGATCATGAAAAACTAGCTGCGTTGTCACAAGAATATATCCACTGGGAGCCAAAAAATGCTCTAAAATGTGTATCTGGGGCTTTAGGTGGAAGCAGGCTTCAGCTAGAAGCAGGGTAGGATGACATACCTGCTCACAGTGTCAAATTCCTTGTGGAACAGATTGAGGAAAGCTGCACCAGAACATAGCAGAGGCTCCAAGGAAGGAGGTGGAGTTGATCTGTGAGATTTAACTTGTAGCGTGGCTGGGAAGGGACATTTTCTTCATCTTGCAGGCTCCAAGATGAATAAAATCAGCTGAGGGCTCAACTTGGAACTGTGAGAGGGGGGTTGGTGGGAGCTTTTGGCCGATTGTCTCCATCTTTCTCTGAGCGGTGGGCTGAATCCTAGGAGACATGAGTAAGAGTAAGAATTGGAGACTAAATGGGATATCTAAGAGAACATAGTAAAGGGTAGTGGAATAAACATGGAGGGGAAAAAATAAGGACATGCAACTTCTAGTGATGCTGTGGAGCTGATCATCGCCTCAGGGTGGTGTGGGCACTGAAACATAAGGGGAGTACAGAAGAGGTCAGGCAGTCGCAGCAGATAATCTTGTCAGTGCTTCAAGTGTAGTGCTCCCAAAGCAGCCTAGCTCAAAAGGTTTCTAAGCGGACCATGAAAGGGAACAGAGGGATTTGTTAAGTGAACTATCGTTCTGTATGTGGCTGGTTGCTTGTGTGCCCTCGTAACATGCACTGGTTGCTGTTAGCAGAACAGATCAGACGCTGGTGTGAGATGGATCTGATGGAATGTGGCAGTTCACACGAGTGTGATTAATTCCTGAAATCCCAGAAGGTGTGATAAGGAGAGCATTTCAACCCCTTTCATCCAAAAAGATATTAAACCCGGAAACTGCTGCTGTGCGCTGAAATGTTTGAGCTAGGCAATGTTAGCTGCCTGGCCTTGGATTCTCCTCAGGAATAACCACTGGTGTTCCCGCCATCTAAGCTTGCGCCTTGTATGATAGAGGCAGGGATGGTAGCCTCACCAGACACAGAAATATATATTTGTAGCTATTTGGAGAACAGATGTGTCTCTGCTGGACCTTGGAAACCCTGTTATAGGTGGTTACTCTTCTGGATTTATGTGCCTGGGCCCTGGCAGCGGGCCCTGGCAGCCTCTGTGAGGAGCGTCTGGGCCTGCCCCGTGCTGGTTCCAGCCAGCTCCAAGGCCCCCGGCAGGGCACGGCTCAGCCCCTCGGCCCTGCTGGTGTCTCCTTGGGGAAAGCATATTTCCGGAAGGGTAAACCACTGCCCAGCAGTGAGGAGCGAGGAAAAAAACTGTGAGAAACAGCTCTGTGAGCATCAGAGTGAGAGCAGATGGAGGGGAGGAGGTGCTCCAGGCACCCAGTGAGAGAGAGACCCCAGTGGGGCAGGATGTGTCCCTGCCGTCTGTGGAGAGACCGTTCTGCAGCCGGGGGTGAAGTGTGAGGAGGAAGGAACAACAGAGAGGAGCTGTTATGGGCTGACCATAGCCACTCCAGCCCTCAAACCTCCATGCCGCTCAGGGTGTGGGGGAAGGTGGAGTTGTCACGACTGAAGTTGAGCCTGCGAGAAAGTGGGGGAGTGGAGGGGGCAAAGGTCTTTGTTTCTCCCTAGTCAGGCCTCTTTTAATTTGCAATAAATTAAATTTTTTTTTTCCCATAAGATGAGTCTGTTCTGCCCATGATGGTCATTGGTAAGTGATTTCCCTCTCTATCTCGACCTGTGACCTGCTGCTGCTTTTCTCCCCCAGCCCTGTTGAGCAGGGGGTGTGAGGGAGTGGCTGGGCAGGTGGCTGGCAGCCGGCCAAGGTCAGCACACCACAGTTCATTTGAGTCAGGTGTTTTTCTTTAAGTGTGTTGTCCACTTCCAGATGTGTCAGTGTTTGAACAGAAGATGCAAAAAGATAGGCAACCAGGAACAAACATTTGTATTAATGTTGGTAGTTTTTGGTCACTGTTCTGTTTCTCTGGAATAGGGCAATTGGAGCTGTGCGGCTAGATGTTCAAACCTGTGTCAAGACCAATCTGAAGCTGACTGCTGTGTTGTGTAGAGCCTCGTGTGGGTGAGAGCAAAGAAAACTGCTTTTCCTCCACATGATGTTGTACAACACAAAATTGGGAATGAACCCCAGAGACACAGGGACAATGAAATGAAATCAGATGTAAGAGACAGCATTCAAGGACCGCCTTCTCTTGATCTGTAAATCTCTTCTGTTTTTCAGGATAAGAGATTCCTTTAAGGCTGTTATTAATTGCATTACTGTGTGTGGTCCCTCAGAGAGAGTTAGGGAGGTAACATCCAGGTAGGGCTGGTGAGGCATGAGGAGGAAGGAGGGAACAGAGGAAGATCTTTTGATGCAAGGTCAAAGTCATCTGAAACGTATTGCAGTGTATCAGGCAAAAAAAAAAAAAGGCCTGCATATAGAAACACCCTCAAGACAACAAGTATTCCCTTTTGCCATTTGTAGTATGTGAGCCACTTAACTTGGAGCTTTGTGTTTTCTTCAATAGTAGTGGCTTGGAAAGGCAGGTCAGTATTGCTCCCTGGTTTGGAGATGGAATAACTGAGGCACGTGCTGAGGTTGCAGACCTAGGCAGAGAATCAAGATCTCTGAATCCTGCCTCTTAAGGTGGACTGATGGTTCAGCCAGTGGTGTGATATACTGGCTTTCAGCAAAAACACTCTACTGCTTTGCAGAGGCCGTACTTAGTACTTTCAGCGAATGCTGCAGTATTTCTCTTCAGTGATCTTGAGATACCATTGTGGTATTTAAATATTTGTGTGGTCTGCCTTGCTTCCAGCATAGGTGCGGTATTTATTTAATGAAAGGGGAGAAGCAATGTGGCATGCATGAAAGCCTGCAGGCATTAAAAGGAACAAAGTATTATACTGCAATAGTCAGCCTGGGGTATCACGCTATATTAATTTCAAATACCTCAGCCTCTTTGTGAGCTTCTGTGGGGACTTAAATGGAGATTATAATGGTAACTTATATAAGTTTATTCCAGCATTGCAA